TTGACAATAATAAAAGAATTTTCAAATACGCAGGGCATGCTTCATGACATACCGTTACACATCTTCCAATAATTTTAAGTATCTGCTTTGTCTGGCTCTCAAACTAAAAATTTCTGGTGCGAAATTTTATGTTTCTGTATTTAAGCATGCGGTCTTGAAAGCTGAATTTGAAATTTCAAGATTGTGCCTTAGCGAATAGCATCATCTTGAATTTTTGGCTTTCGATCTTGTTCATTTCCCGAGGAAGTGATTTTCACGTTAGAACTTACAAGTGGTTATACACCAGACCCGGACGTACGTGAAAATTAAGTTTGAAATATTTGGGTCGTGTGTGGGTGTAGGACATTCTCCCAAAATTCCAGCTTTCTAACTTCTCTGGTCCTCGTTTTAGATTTTCCCGTTGGAATTTTTACGTAAATGCATGCAAGACGTTGGTGTATTTGAATGCTGAACTTGAATTGTTTGGGTTGTGCAAGGGTATGGGAATTTTCCCGAGAAAAATTTCACGTTTCCGTGTGTGAGACCCAGGCATACGTTGGGGCTGAATTTAAGTTCGCGAGGTCGGATGTTCGCAGAGAACGTAATTCTAAAATTTTGGCTTCATAGCCTCACTGATTTTTGAGTTGCAGACCTATGACAAGGCACACTAGCACGGCGTACATATACGGAGAGGAAGAGGGAGAGATGGGATAGGATCGTGATAATATTCGTTTTGTGCAGCACAAGACGTATAAGAAGCGAAATTTAGCACAGAGGCGGGATGAGTAAATTTTTCAAGCAAGGATGGAGTGAAATTATGTGAAGTGTTTCATCTGGAACAGAAGACAACGTTTTATGACAGGGGCCGATGTCCGAATCTGGCCAACGATGCCGAAACCTAGATCTAAAGCACTTTTTCTGATGCACATATATAAACATGTCGTTGTAGGTGCAGCAGTAGAAACGCATTGCGAATATCCGAAAGATTCCTTTCAACTTTTAGTCCGAAATCAGTGCCCTATTGCTACTGCGCTATGTATCATCGATTCACCATTCGACGTTTCGATGAGCTTGCGCTACAGATGTGCCACCGGTTAGCTCCCGCCTTCCACGTGTATTTTTGTGTTTTGTACAGGATTTCGTTTTTCATTCATTGTATAATACAGTTCATCAGTTTGACGATAAGCTAGAATTGACTTTTATGCAGGAAAATAAGGTCTGTTGGCCGAAGTCTGTCGCACAGTTTGCTGACAAGCGGTGGACCTTGCGTTTTTGTGTATGTTACGTATGGAAGCGAGATCAACCCCGAGTTGGTGGATAAGTAATTGAGACGGAATAGGTATGCTGCAAAATGAGCAAAGTAGTACTGCGTCGGGACATGTACCCTCCCAGTAGTCCTGGGGGATTTCGGATCAGACACAAGCAGTGCATCGTGGCATGCAGCGCACAGCAGCAG